ATATATATATATATATATATATATATATATGAAGCCTTCAACTCTTTAGACCTCAGCTAATTATATGTGCGTGGCTAGAAGTTAAAGCCCATATAATATTATTACATTGCTCCATAAACAAGTTTGAGCTTAAAGTTTAATAACTCAAAGGAGAAATTGATGAAAACCAAAAAAAAACAAAAAGGATTGTAGTAACCCGCAGGATTATAATATAAAAAACTGTACACTTTTTATTTATTGATATCAGCAGAGTAAGGAAGCTTTGTGGGGGTAAAATTTCTGTACAGAATCATTAGTGTATCGTCTTTTGATGCTTTAAGTTATCCTATGGATAGAAAGATGCATATCATTGCCCACAAAGAAGAAAGCATGAATACGATGGGATAATTAAAAACGAAGTGTATTTTGTGAAAGGAAATGTCATTTTCTTTCACCAAGTTGAATTTTGTTAAAGTACTTATGAAAATGAAACGAAGCCCGACAAAAAAAATAATGCATTCCAAATCTCTTTAAAAAAAATAAAAAACCATTCTGGAATGAATAAATTTTTATTTATATTCGATTTAGATTTACTGTATTGGCTGTGTATATACGTTGAAGGATTTATATTAAACAAAAAATAATTATTGATTATACATCAATTGTGATAAGATCCATTTCACGTTAGTTTTACACACTTGAATTGTTGTTATTGAAATGACGAGGGATGCACCTGCCAGACCTAACCCATGAAAAAAGAGCAGAGACCTAACCCTAAAATAAGTTTTACACGCTTTAATTGTTGTTATAATTCGATCAACATTCTTTTCATGAACCTCTGTAGTTGGTGGGTATGCTTTTTCATTGCGCTATTGATTACAGATGTTTCAAGGTTATGTATTTGAGAATCTAGTTGCTATTTTTGGAATTCAAAACAGATAGATAAGCAAATCGATCTCGGAAGATGATAGAGGGGGCAAATTGGGTTGATAAGAAGGACCATATATCTTCCCTTAGCAGTTCCGGAGAGCTGAAAGGGTATGTTCCTCGTGAAAGTGTTGTGCATGCTCTAGTAGGTAACATTTATAAGAGGCATAACATTCATGAGAAGGCAATGTTTCATCTCGCTCTGGTCTGGTTTTGCTACAATTAAGAGGCATAACATTGAAGTAATACTATGTTTTACTGACAAATTTCCTTGTGGGGTAACGTCTTTGAAATTTCAATTTGTTGTTCAAACAAAAAAAAGAGCCCATTGGAAGACTCTACTATGTAGGATAGAGAACTTCCTCCATAGAAAGGAGAAGGCGGAGCTAGGTCATCTACCTGTGGATTATCGTGATGAATGTCAATAACCCACGGCCATCCATTCTGCATCAAAGCATGAAACCCCCCCTACAATAACATGAAAACTGGAAAACAACCTTTGTTTCCAAGCAGAAAAGTCCATTTCTCATCTTCATGCTAACAATAAGCCAATTCGCAACCCTCACCATTGATGGTCACAGCCACATAATCATATACACTTGCCAATATTGAGCCTTGAATGACCTACCCATATTGTAAAAACGTAATGTTTTCCTATACTTTCCGTCAAGGATTTTAACAATATACACCTAACATTTTATGGAATATATAAGAGATAAAACGATGAAGAGGAAAAGGTGCAAGATAGTTAAGTGTCGATAACATATTGTGGTAACAATTATTAAGTGTAGATTGCTCGCAATTTTATATCAAGTAAGAGGGCATGAACTTGTAAAAGAGTTAAAATAAAATTTTAGTGTGCATGTTATGTAAATAATAGAATATTTAAAGTTGTATTTGATTCGATAAAGATATTAGCATGCATACTAATTTATACAAAATTAAATATATTATACTTGAATTAAAAATAGTGTAGAGATTAGGTGATTGTTGAAGATTAATTATTATGGTCAACGATTAATTAAGTAGTTTGTCCTTAAGACTGGAATGGTGGTCGGTTGATGCAACAATTTTCTTACAAATAATCTCCCACGATTTCAACATAATTTTAAAGTCTAAGAACTAAATGAATATTAATGAACTTAAAGAATATGTTTGATATTATAGTCCAGTGTTTATTTTAAAAGTATTTTTATTTAAAAATATATTTAAAGTAATTTTTATAAGATTTTATATTTATTGTTAACATCAACATATCAAAATCATTAAAAAATACTAAAAAAATCAATTTAATATCTTTTTAAACCAAACACATTTTTAAAACACACTTTTAAAAAAACAAACAAAAAAAAACAAATGGCGCAAAAATCTCTATGCAAGGGACAAAAACCTAAGCCTTTTAACTGAGAAAAAAAGAGGGGAAAGACAAACCACAACAAGACGCAAAACAAGCTAAAACTATAGAGAGAAGGCTAAATAGCCTTTACAAAGTAGAGAACATCTCATTATCAACCTCTTTTTATATTGATTTTACAGTTTTATACACGTAGTTTCCTTTTGTGGGATTTGTCGTGGTATTGACATGAGATTTCGGTGGAGTCCACTTTGGAGATTGGTATGGAAGCTTGTTTTCATCCTCATCGGAGGCAACTTCTTCATGCACTTCAGTTTGCTGTCTGATGTGTTGTTTTCATCTGCAATTAAATAGTTAATAGTTCTGTACGAGTCCAAGTCATGGTGCTTCGGTGATAATTAATTACATAAAAAAAATTATTATTATATTCTAAATATTCTATTTAAGATAAGTTGCATTACTTGTTTTATCTAAAATTACTAAGAATTTATTTTTCTCTTTTTTTTTTTTTTTTATAATGTTACTAACTCTAATATCAGTAAATATTCACCTACAAGTATTTATTGATCCTAATTTTGATAAATATTGCACAAACTTAGAAAGTACAATATTCATGACTTTGATTATAGTGAATAAATTAGTAAAATTTTAAATTTTAATGACGAAGAAAAAATATTTTCTAGGCCTTTTTATCAAAAACATTTCTAGGCCCTTTTTATCTTTTTTTCATTATTTTTTTCTTTTTAAACAAGAATAAAAAAATATATTGCACAATATATTTATATTTAACCATAAAGGTTCATAAATTAAGCTCGCAATGGCAAAAAAAAAAAAAAACTCAAAAAGTAAAAAAAAAATGCAAGGGATGCATAAATAAATTAATGAAAATACCTAAATTTTCTAAAAAAATTAATATAAAAAAGAGGTTCATTTAGTTAAATATCAAAGCAAAACAGTATAAAAAAACATGACAATATATAAAGATATATTTTACCAAATACACCCTTAACAAATAATAATTTGAGTTAACAAATAATAATTTGAGTTGGTTGGCCCGAGACCCAGATTTAGTCCACTCTTCTTCTTTTTATTCTTTTTATTGGGCTAGATAGAGTAGGGCTACATCAAGCCGGCCTGAGGATATTACCATCATCTTATAAAATTATGGCATTTTATTTTAAAAAAAAAAATATTTAGTTTAATGGGTCTTCATCTATTGTTATGATTATTAAGAATCTAAATGATTAACAGAGATTATATAATATAGAATTAATTACGTAAAAAACATTATTATTATATTTTAAACGTTCTATTTAAGATAAGTTATATTACTTATTTTATCTAAAATTACTAAGAGAATGTTCACTCACAAGTATTTATTGATCCTAGTATTGATAAATATTGCACAAACTTAGAAAGCGCTGTTCAACACTTCTGCTACAGGAGTGAATTAAATGTAAAGCGAGGGAAGAACGGGAAAGTTACCTCTGCAGATGAAGGCCGAATGTTCGAAGACGATGGCACAGCTCTGGAAAGCACTCCTTCTGCTCTTCCTTTTGTTCTTCTTCTCTGTTACCTTCGCTTCCTTTTCTGTCCTTTTTTCTTGTTTTAGTTTTTTTTAGTCTCTCTCTCTCTCTCAATCTCTCCCTCTCCTGCGATTTTCTTTTTCTTTTTTCCTCCTCTTCTCTTTCTTCTCCTTCTGCCTTTTATAGGCATCCTATCCTGCTACCTATCTTCCATGATAGTGATAAGGCCTGGGTTTTTATGTCTTGGCTGCATTGGGACACCAACAGTCCTGCCATTGCTGTGCTATTGATGGTGGTTTCCTCCACGCCTCAATAGCTTGTTATGGCGGTGGAGGAAACGAAAATGAACAAAGAAACTGGTGAGGGAAGTCGTGGGAATTGCAATGTGTCCAGTGGTGTGAGTTGTCTGATTGGGTGGCAGGGGGTATTTTTTATTTTTTTAAATAATTTTTATTTAAAAATATATTAAAATATTATTTTTTACTTTTAAAAAAATATTTTTAATATCAGTATATTAAAATAATTTAAAAATATTAATTTAAAATAAATAAATAAATAAAATTTTTTCAAAAAATTTTTAAAACATAAAAATAAATAAATTTAAAAAATAAAAAATAAAAATAACAAAACAATACCGTTTTCAATTTGATCTATCTTTGAAGGTTTTCATATTTTTTAAATTAACCTCTAAATAAAATTGTAATTAAATTTATATATTTCCGTATCTTTTATAAAATTATCATTGGTTTCATTTTAAACAATTTAGTTATTAATTGACTTTTTAACTACTTCATTTTTTCAAAATTATCCTTGAAAAAGAAAATTAAACTCTCTATAGTACTTTATCTTTTCATTTTGATCCTTGAACTTTAATTTCTTACAATTCTAACCTTAATTGACCCTAAATTTTAATATTATTTTAATTAAGCCTTTGATTTTCTTAATTAAACTAATTCTAAACTTAATTGAGTCTCCAAATTTATAAATTCTTCCATTAAACTCCTATATCATTAATTAAACCAATTTAAAGTTTAATAAAGTTTCAAAAACTTCCAAAGTTATAATTCCACCCTGAGCAACCCTCAAAAACTTCTCATTTGTGTTTTCCTGAGCCAAATCTTTTTTTTTTCTTCATTCATTTCATTTCTTCGTTCCATTCATCATGTCATCTTCTTTTTATTTATATAAAAATCAAAATCAAAATCAAAAACTGAACTATCACATCATTGTTAGAATTCGGACTTGAATTAAATGGTGTCCTATCAAATACAGGTTTTGTTGTGCTCTCTTCAAACACCTTGAGATTCACTCTTCCATTTTATTTCATGTTTTCAGCTACCGATTCAGGATTGATATTGTCAATGATATGGATTTTGTCAAATACCAACCTATCTTTTGATTGCATACTCTCATTCGAAGCTTCATATATCCTTCGAAGTTCAGGTGTCAACGACCCATCAGAATCATACACAATCCCTTATCCATGACTAGACATGACCATATTGTTCATTGTCCTGAGATTCATATCTTGAGAGTTCAACGGCAGCTCTTGCAGCATGTGCTGCGTAAGCTGCTGATTCAAAAGCCTCTAGAGCTGCTGAAGCTACATCTTTGTACTTCCTTCCTTTCAATGATCCGGACAGCTCCTCCTCAGGCAAAACGTGGGTTCTGGCTTGGTACTCGGTAGCATCTACCTTGACTGATTTATATTCATGCTGCTGCTCCTTTGGCTGGTCGACATGCAGATTTTCCTGAAACCAACAACGACTGTTAAACCTCAATATTCCATAGGAAATTGTACTCATTTTGTATTGTAGAAGACTCGTACTTGTGCAACTACAGGAGAATCTTCCTCCAAATGCAGGATGATACCATTCTCAGCTGCAATGTCCTTCAGCAGTTTCTTTCTGTTTTCCAAGCTTGGTTGTCTTGCAGAAAGATTTTGTATTATCTAAAACAACAAAAGAAAAACACAATTAAAAAAGATGTGAGAAGAAAATCTGGTATAATTTAATCTGCAAATATTCAGCTATTTACATTAGGATGCACTCCGCAGTTTCTGCGCAACTCGACAGCACAAGCAGCGAATTCTTTTCCAAATCTCGATGTGAAAACTCCACGAATCTCTTGCAACTCTGGAAACTCACCACATCTGGAAGATGCAAAGATCAAGCTCGATATTGCCTCCTTGAACTCAGGACACTCTCTATGTAAACAACGGTAATCCATATAAATTAATAATATTCAATCTCAGAACAAAGGAAACAAAGTTTTAAAACCCTGTATCACCACCACAGAAAATGAACATGATTGATAAAATTCAAGAAACTAACTTGTTTGTTTCAAGTTGAGCAACTCTTTCGATCAGGAAATGTAAGTAATCCTCCATCATATCAAAAGCACCCAGCATATTCTGATCCTTGATGACATGCTCAACCTGTCGAGCAAACTCCATCACATATCAAATATATAAAGATTGAAAGATCAAAGAAGCAGAAGGTAAAGGGAATATCATGAATTTACGCGAAGTAGAGCTCTTTCTTGGTGTCCAAGGTTAAGGAGCTGAATAACATCAGACTTTGCAAGGGAAAGCCTGGCTTGTCTCTGGTTCTTGAGGATGACGATCCTAGATATTGCTAGTTTTGCTAGAGAACTTAATCTAGAGGTCTTGAGTTTCCTCCGGAAAAGAGCATCCAGTTTCTTTCCCATGTTTTGCACTCTATAATTTGTTGCTGCTGGTCTCAACACCATGAAAGGCCTGAAGAAGCAAAACCTTGTTCAGGGAAGTTTAAGAACCTCAAGGAGTAACTAAGACCATGAAAACTTCTCGATACAAATTGTGGTTCCTGTTTGGTGTGTCTGTCTGTGATGAATTTCTATCACAGTCAGCTTCTCAGTTCACAGGGTGTCATATGTAGCAATCTATAATTTGTCGCAAATTTGATTGGATGTTATCAGTAAGGTCAATATTGGTGAAGGTGATGTTAGCCCGTTCTCTACTTTGAATTGGACAAAGATTTTTTGGTTAGTTCTTGGCGGCTGCCTCTTCTTTTTGTCTAGAAGAAGGAATGATTCAGAAAACTATGAGCTATAATTTAAACAGAGCTATTTTATTTTTATTAATATTTTTCTTAATATGTGAAACTGTTCTCTTTTCGGTGGCCATGACCTTCGAGGGTGTAAAGGCCAAAAGGGCAAAGAAAAATACAATGCAAAACTACCACATTATATACATTTTTTTTATTTTTTTTTTGTCGAATTTCAAGTCTTAAAAAATGTTGGCACATTTTAAGCGAATAATAATTTCACAAGTTTTTATGAAACTGTCAATCAATTTTATTTTGGACTTGGTATCTGTGACAAGATGATGGATGTTATTTATTCCTGCGGTCCAATTGTATTTAAAAAATAATAATTTTTTAATTTAAATTAATTTTTTGATATTTTTCTATCGTTTTGATATAATGATATTAAAAAAATTAAAAATAAAAAAATATATATTATTTTAATATATTCCCAAACGAAAAATATTTTAAAAAATAATATTTATCATAATTATTACAAACACTGTCTAAATAAAAAGTGAGATTCTAGATCTCAAACCCTAAAAAAATTGTCAATTCCAATAAATACCACCATGTAAAAAATAACATAAGTTTAAGGAAAAAATTATAGGAATTTAAAGTGACGAGGAAAAAAAAAAAGGAAGCCTATAAATAAAACAATAAAAAACCTTTAGGAAAAAACATAAACAAAATTAAAATTCATAAATTACATATGTGGGGTTAGTTATCTTTCACTAAATGACCTATTTATATGAGGTTAGTTAACTTTTACTAGATGACCTATTTATAATATTACAATCATTAAGTTTTATCTAAACTTCCAATTCTATACCTACAAAGATTGTGTTTATTAAATAAGTACATTACATGATAAATCCTAATATAAATTGTACTCTATCAAATTAATAACCAAGTGAATCTTTACTAGTCTATAATTTTTGATCAATTTAATATGTTGAAGACTCTTGTTCTAAGTAAAATTAAGTGTTATAATTACTTGCATGCACTCAAATTCTCGTGGTTAATTATTTTTTTATTAATTATGAATTTTAATTATATGATCGATTGCTTCTTAAATTTTTTAGTTAATTAAGTGTTATAATTACTTGCATGCACTTAAATTCTCGTAGTTAATCATTTTTTTTATTAATTATAAATTTTAATTATATAATCGATTGCTTCTTAAATTTTTTAGTCAATTAGAACTTTTTAAGCTTAGTTGATTTTACTATTTAGAATCTATAATTATTCTATAATTTTGGTCAATTTAATCTGTTAAAAACACCTATTATAAAAATAAGATTAAATTTTTTGATTGCTCACTCATACACTCAAACTTTTACGGTGATTAATTTTTCTTTAATCAATCATATTTATGTTCATCTAGTAAATTTCTTATTACTTTCAATTCTATAAGCTTAGTTGATTTCATTGTTCATAATCAATTTTAGACTATCCTTCCAGTCCGACAATGAGAAATAATTATTTTTGGTTGGTTGGCACATAAATATTTATTTTTGGTGTAAACACCCATCATCCCAAGCAACCAAAACAGTTCTTAAACTTCTTAGACAACATTAATAATTTAGACCTTATTTTCTGTGCACTTAGATCTTTTAATAGGTGATTATTAATTAAGGAAAATATATTGACCACAAAATAAAGAGGAAAAAGTCGATTTCTTTAACAAAATCCATCTCATCACAAAAAAAAAAAAAACACTAATTATGTGTAAGAATCAATTCTAAAAAAACACCTTAATATTGCCCGCATAAAAAATCCTTGCTTTTTTGTTATAGCAATCCACAAAAATCAATGAAGCAAAAATCTTTTTTTTGTCCTTTTCTTTTGTTACTTTCCCGAGAAAACAACCTGAAGAAAGACCAGCACTTTCTTTCCATATTTATCTTAGCATGTGTCAGCCACAGACAAAAATAAACTCGGGAAATACTCTTTTTTTCGTTCTGTACACCTTTAGACATGCACAGATATATCTTTTCATAGCTTCAATTTATTTTCTTTGCAATTCTAGTTTTCTTGACCCAATACCCAACATGTTATTGTGTAACTCGAGGGTTGAAAATGTGAGTCATGCTAGGGTTTTTTGCTAGGAAGGACGACGCAAATACAGAATTCATAGATAGGGACCAAGGAATCAAAGTAGAGTTTAATAGTCTTGTATCCGATACTTGAAGTAGCCTGTCGAGAAGGTTTGGAATTTATCTCATTCTATGTGCTACTGTCCTTGGCGAATTTGGCTGAGCCTTATGTTATATTATATGCTGTTCTGATGTCTGTGGATTAACAACACAAACTACAATAATTTGTGAAAGCAACATTTAATTGAATATTTTACCAAAAGGCCTTGTCATCCCCAAGAGATGATGAATGTATCAGAACCCTGTTTTGTAATCCAAGTGGGCATCACTTGTGTAGAAGTTTATTCATTTCTCATATTAAATCCCAAGTTGAATTTGTCTATTTGCCCTCTTTTTCTTTCCTTTTCCCTTTTTTTATGAATTCCTGGATACAGGTGGGTCCTGGCCATGAAAGCAAAATATGAGCAACACTTTATGTGTAGCTTAGTGTAGTCTTTGAAAAAAAAAATTACATCAATGGTGGGTTCTACTTTATGGTAGATTTCACATGATTTTAATTAGATTTATGGCGAGGTAGGTTCGCTAGAATAAAAGGATTAGAATTCGGGTTTGAGTTCGTACAAGAGGGAAACGCATCATTCTAGAGAGAGGAGAAAAAATGGAGGGCGACATAGCTAAATGAATTCGGTGAACAACAAAGCCTTAGTTTGACAGGATGGTGTAAAAGATCAAGGCCAGATTAAGAAAGAATTAAACTCTGGAAAGAGAAGACAATGGAACTCTTTGACAGACAAATTGAAGGGCTGACTAATTGAACCTCCCCACTTGGCAACGTGAATGCCTTAATGGCCATGACTGGTTCAAGACCTTATACAAATACATGGGAGTATAAGCAAGCTGGACCTCTCAAGTTTCAACTTTCAACACTGACATGATGCTTTAAGACTCCTAAATATACACTGCAGATTATTGGAACCAAGTCAAATCAAGCTTAAATAACAAAGTCAAATTCTCTGCGCTGTATTTGTTGAGTACATTTGATATATGGTAGCTGTTATAATTATAATTTGAAAAAAAATATTTTTAATTAAAATTAATTTGAAAAGATATATGTTTGGTTAAATTTATAGTTGAAATTGAGGTTAAATAAAAAATAATTTAATATATTTGGTTAAAAAAATACTTTTAAAATTGAGATTATATATATTGATGATTTTCAATTTAAATATTATAGATTTAACTACTGTTATTACATTATCAAATAAATAATATTAATATTAAATATTTTTTATTATTTCATTAAACTATATACAATTTCATCACATATGAAATATATCCAACAAGAATTATATTTTCCTTGGTTTCTTAAATATGCAACAACATCAAGTAAAAATATCATCAAGAAAAAAATTGAAATTACAATCAAATTCTGCATTACGTCATTAAACAATCTCCTTTTAATTTTTTGAATAAAACACAATTAAAAATAAAAATAAAAACTGAATTTTTTTAGTTGGATCAAACCCGGCAAGAACAAAATTAGAATTGCGATCAATTTCATCATATATGAAATATATCCAATAAGGATTATATTTTCCATGGTTTCTTAAACACGCAACAACATCAAGTAAAAATATCATCAAGAACAAAATTGAAATTACAATCAAATTCTGTATTACATCATTAAACAATCTCCTACTAATTTTTTAAATAAAAAACAATTAAAAATAAAAAATAAAAACTAAATTTTTTTAGCTGGATCAAACTCGGCAAGAATAAAATTAGAATTACGATCAAATTTTATAAATGTCATATCATTAAGCGATCTCCTTTTAATTTTTCAAATAAAACACAATTAAAAATAAAACTAAAAACTAAATTTTTTTAGCTGGATCAAACTCGGCAAGAATAAAATTAGAATTACGATCAAATTTTATAAATATCATATCATTAAGCGATCTCCTTTTAATTTTTCAAATAAAACACAATTAAAAATAAAACTAAAAACTAAATTTTTTTTTTAACTAGGTCGAACACGGTAAAAATAAAATTGAAATTATAATCAAATTATGTAAATATCACGTCATCAAGCGATCTACTTTTAATTTTTTGAATAAAACATAATTAAAAATTTAAAAAAAAACTAATTTTTTTTTACAAGATCAGACATGACAAGAACAAAATTATAATTGCAATCAAATTGTGTAAATATTATGTTAATGAATTTTTTTAGCTGGATCAAACTCGGTAAGAACAAAATTAGAATTGCGATCAAATTTTATAAATATCACATCATTAAGCGATCTCCTTTTAATTTTTCAAATAAAACATAATTAAAAATAAAAATAAAAACTAATTTTTTTTTTTAACTAGGTTTTGAAATTATGATCAAATTATATAAATATCACGTCATCAAGCGATCTCCTTTTAATTTTTTGAATAAAATATAATTAAAAATTAAAAAAAATATATTTTTTTAAACAAAGTCAAACATGACAACAAAATTATAATTACAATCAAATTGGTAAATGTTATATCATCAAGTGATTTTTTTCTAATTTTTTAAATAAAACATAATTAAAAAATAAAAATTAATTTTTTTAATTGAATCAAATTCAATTCAATATATTTAGTATTAAATCAGACTCGACTCAATAGAAACAGTCAAGAATAACTTCACTCTACACTTAAGTGAAAAGTAAAGAGTGAAACTCTCTGTTGCGTGAAGAAATAACAAGATATAGCTTTCAAAAAACCTGTGGCACAACCTTAATAAATTGTAGGTCCTACCAAAACAGATTGTATTTCTTACTTAACCAAACAAAGAAAAACTGTGGCTGCGGGTAAGGCAGCCACAATACCGAAGTCTTTCCAGGGCTATGGGCAT